TCCTCGTTGATGCAATTTGAAGGCTATTTTACAGTCATTTTAGCAACGGGTGGCTCTTCACTGTAAGGAACTGCAGCACTATCTGTAGTTCTTTCTGTGGGCGAAGAAAGTGAGGTACAGGGAGGAAGAGACCTGCCCAAAGGCAGGTCACAGAACCAGTCAGTGGAAGGCCTGAGACTCGATTTAGGGTCTTCTAGGCTTTCCCTCTTGTGTTCACCACTGAGGAGTTCCCCTTTTGCTGGGAACAGTTCGGCCTCAGGGGATTTGCTCTGCCCACCATCCGCAGTGTGTTAGGGGATGTCCAGCACTACCTGTTCTACTCTGAAACAGCCCTTCAATGCCCTCTACACTGGATCCACTTTTTCCTGCCCATGGTTTGGAACACCTCCGCCTCGAGGAGTGGCGGTTACTTTTAAAGGGTCTGCAAAAAAGAACAGGGAAAGGGTCGGGGAGGGCTACTCGACTGGAGCCTCTTCAGCAGCTTAGCTACCAAGACAGCATTTTCTTGAGCAAAGAACCCGCAAGCAAACAACCGTCTTCTTGTTTGGTTTCTGGGGTTAGGGGGGTACGTAGGGTACGTAGTGGTTTCTGGCTGTGCATTTCTACACACCCTGACACGCAACACACACACACACACACACACACACACACACTAGTTGGTCCTCAATCAGAATCCCTGGGGTAGGTTCGAGACCTCAACATGCATATTATGAAAAAACTCCTTAGGTAAATCTGATGGACAAACAGCCGAGACCTAGGTTCACCCATAAACCATTGCTCCTGGCTGAATGGGCTAAGTGATGCTGCTTTAGATGAGAGATGAGTGTGGTTTGAATGTTCTAAAAAATTAAATATGAACATAAGTTATTAGTTTATGTGCCTAAACAGAGGTGTGGGTGTTGTGATACTGTTAACATGAATACTGGTAAGACCAGGCTGAGGAGTCCGTCCCAAGGGACTGCATCTTGGTAAGTGCTGATTCAGTCCAAGGCAAAAAGTAAGAGCTGTTTGTTCATCATAAACCATGCTTCTCAGGAATCTTGGCACTTTCTTTAAAAACGAAGGCAGCCAGTAATGGAGCCAGCTGATGATAATCTGTAGATTAGGTGACGCATGTCTGACTCTCTTCCTTTCAAAAAGCGGAAGGTTAATGTTTTTTAAAAAGACTTTTGGAATGATAGATTTATTTAAAGATTTTATTTACAGCATTTATTTTTAGAGAGAAGGGAAGGGAGGGAGAAAGAGGGAATGAAACATGGATGTGAGGGAGAAATGTCAGTCGGGGGCCTCCCGTACGTGCCCCAACTGGGGGCTGAACACACAACCCAGGCATGTGCTCTGACCGGGACTCGAACTGGCCACCTTTTGTCTTACAGGATGACACCCAACCCATCTGAGAGCCACACCAGTCAGGGTAGAATGATAGATGCTTTTATTATTATTAATAGTTCTAGGGGGAAAATGTTTATTATGGATTTTTCCAAAGATGAGTATCCGTATTTCATTTTTTTCATTTATAGTTTAGATCTCTTCTGCCAACATATTTATCTTGAAGATTTTGTGCACATCTGCATGTTTGAGAGAGATTTCTGGGCAGGACCCTGTTGGTAGTACTCACTCTGTAAGCCATTTTCAGGAATGCTTCATTGCTTTAACATCCTGGCCTTCAAAAGCGGCCATCTCTACCCCAAACTGGGCTGCATACTTTCCCTTTTCTGCTCTTCTGTGTTACAGATGTGACTCAGCATCTGTAAAATGGATCGAAAGGATCTCAACGCAGGTAGAGGCAGGAAGAAAGAACCAATAATTGAGGGCTGTTTTATTTGTTTGGTACAAATGGCAGAGCCACTTATTGGGAGCTTGAAAAACCTAAAGTGGTGAGGAAGGGTATAAAATCTCTTCCTGGAACACGGGAAACCACTAGTTATGAAACACATTATCTGCAGTATTGGAGTCCTGTCCTGGAGCACTTCTGAACATGAAGCAAGTAAAACCCGTACTTCTTTTAAAGATTTTGTTGTTGGATGATAGAAGCACTCCGCTGCTAACCCTTGTGAGCGAGCAGCGTGGGTAGTGAGGACTGGCCGGAGAGGCACCCAGGTCACTGTGAGCCGGGGTCTGTGAACGGCCTGGGGCTACTTCCTGTGGTTGAGCTGCTCGAAAACGAGCTCACCGCCTCTGAAATACCAGGAAGCTCTGTCACAGAAACGCCTGAAACACCAAGAGGCCACCTTGCTGGCCTTGCACTTGTGAAAAGGGAAAGCTTTGAGGAGGGAGTGGCCATCTCCGAGGGTACATGGTTGTGGTGCAGAGACCTGGGGAGCTTGTGCCGTCACGGAGGTGCCCGTTTTATCCAGCAACGGAGGCAGCATTTTGGATAGGCCCAGGTTTGAAGCCCAGCCCTGTGGGCAGGTTACTTCACCTCATCCTGCCTCAGTTTCCCCATGTGCAAAATGGAGGTAGTAATGGAACCTCCCTCATCAGCTTTGGAGAAATTAAGAGTGTCTGTGCCAACTGTTGACGAGAGCCTGGCTTGTAGTAAGTGCTGCGTGAGTGTAAACTCTTGCCGCTGCCACCACTATTACTGGTGTTACTGTAACTCTTAATAACTCTTCCCTGCTCTGGGATTGTGTTTAATTTGCAAAACTTCCACACTCCTTGTTTTTCCTTCTTAATTTGCTTACCTTTTGGCATTTTTCTATTGCTGTCTCAATAACCCACCCATCCAAGGATGAAAAGAAAAATTTGTCAGATTTGTCATATTTTAATATGTCAAATATGCAAAAGAAGAAAGGACGTATTTATTGGAAAATGCTATTTTCAAAGGTTAAGAAGAAGAAAGTGGCATTTGAAGTGTGGAAAGGAGAAATTACAAGCCTGTTGCCTTGACACAACTCTGAAAATATTCTGTGGCCGCATACTGTACATGCTTGTAATTCCAGAGGGCGCACCAGCGGGTGGGCTTCTGCCGCCCCGCGCCAGGGCACCAGTGTTTCCCTGCCCCTCAGCCTCGGCAAACTGTGCTCGGTGGTTTTGCTTAGTGAACGAGTGATTCTTGGCTTGCGGGATGCATTGCTTCCTTTTTAAAAAATAAGTAAAATGGCAGTGAAAATCCTAGTGCAGATTTCTTTTTCTATTTTGATTAGGAATTGTTTCCTGGCGCATGGGAATCTGACTGGAATGTGATTCTTTGGAAAGTTAGCTTTATGAAGATGAGAGAGCCCTGGTCCTTGTGATAACACCGAGTCTGTAACTCGGGGAGGGAGGTGAAACTGCTGTTTGCCTCTGCCTCTGCCCGAGCAGAGGGCTGGCCTCACCTCGGCGTCGCCTCCCTCTCGAGACCTGGGCTGTCGGGTGCAGGGTCTGCTCGCTCCCTGTAGTTACTTAATGAGAATGCAGTGAAATGAGTGGTCCACCTCCTCACGGTCTCACACACTTCATGTGTTCAGCAGCCACGTGTGGTAGTGGCTACCATGTTGGACAGAGCAGGTACAGAACAGCTCCGTCACTGCAGAAAGTTCCGTGGCATAGTGCAGCTCCAGCTTATTCTGGCCACCCAGTCCCTTAACCTCACAGTGACAAGGGAGGGCCGCCTCCCGTTGGTAGGGTTTTCTAGAGCGGAGGTCAGCCGACTCGGGCTGCCTGTGTTTTAAAGGCTCTGTTGGAATGCAGCTACACCTGTTTGTCTGTTGTCCGTGGCTGCTTCTGTGCCGCCGCAGCAGGGCAGTGTCGGGTGGGTGTGCCAGACCAGATGCGGCCCGTGGCCTGCAGGTGCTCACTCCCCCTTACGGAAGGTTTCCATTCCTTTTCATCTACACCAGGGTATCTCGGCCTCAGCACTACTGAAGTTTTGGTTCATATAGTTATTTGTTGTGAAGGGCGGTCCTGCGCGTTGTAGGATGTTTAGCAGCACCCCTGGCCTCTCTCCACTGCCTGCCCCCTCCCCACCCAGTTGTGACTACCTCCGTTTTCTCCAGACGGTGCCAGGCACCCTCCGGGGAGCAGAGTCACCCCTGGCTGTGAGAACTAATTCACAGCGATGTGGCCTGACGAAATGTCCATCTGTAATACTCATAAGGTCCATTTAAAGAGCAGAATAAATTAAAGAATACTTTTAATGTTACATTAGCACTCCCTCCGGAAACAAATGTCTCCCTTAGTGTGTGGAGTAGCTAGAACAGTGCAGAGCAATGGAAGCACTGGGGTTCCCCGCTCGCTGGCCGCCGACGGGACGTCAGCATCTCTGGAGTTAACGGGGACGTGTGGGCTATTCACAGGTTCTCGGGCCTGCCGGGTGGAGCACCTGTGACTGCACCGGTTTTGTTGCCGGGGGCGGGGGGGGGGTTGTGTGTGTGCACCCAGCACCTTATGCTAAATCTGGCAAGAAGGGAGTAACTAAATGTTCATTAAATGACTATCAACAAATGCAATAAATTCGTACTTACCTGTCTTATGATTTTAAGTGGTCCATGTAGGTTCTTACCCTCATTACCCAGAATAATTGAATAACTGGTTATATTTATCTTAATTAGAAGTTATGAGAATTGAATTAAATGTCAATACCTATAAAATTGTGTTCAGTTCTTTTAAGATGTGGTGCTTGACTACTTTCCAGAGTGGGGACTTCCAAGGCTGGAGGAGATGGCCATGTTAACCGATGAACCCCTCATTGTATGAGAATGTAGCGTGTTGGGGCACACGTTTTCATTAAGAAACAGTGTATGTAGTACTTCCAAATTCTCAGTTTAGAAACTGGGGTGAATTAGGGTTGGGACAGTCACCTTTCAAAGTGAGTATCAGGTATATCTTTATCTGGCTCTTCAAGTTAAAATTAAATTTAAAACTTTTTAAATTGGTTTTGAAAGGAGTATGTAACGTGTCATGGAGCCCACTCCCTTGTGGTCCAATATCTAGGAAGGTAAGCAGCTCTGACTGCGGAACTCAGGTGAATTTCAGGTGAACGTGTTCCGTGCGTGATGTGCTTCTGTTTGTTTTTCCAGATCTTACCAATATATTTGAGTCCTTCCTGCCCCAGTTGTTGGCTTACCCCAACCCCATAGATCCTCTCAATGGTGACGCCGCGGCCATGTACCTCCACCGACCAGAAGAGTACAAGCAGAAGATTAAAGGTAAGGAAGCCAGTGGTTTCACCTGGAGACAGGAGAACTTAGTCTGTTGGGCTTCTTAGTCACTAATAATATTTCTCAGGCCCAAAAAGACACAGCTGCTGGCTGGAGCAGAGCTCACCAGCCTCTGCCAGTGGTTCCGAGGGCGAGAGATAAACGCTGGAAGGCCGGCCGGAGGTGGCAGCATGGAAGGGAAGGAGAGAGAAAACGCAGAAGGAAAGATGAGACAGTGGGAGGGTTCACTGTCAGGTGTTAGTGGACGTGACCCTGCCAGCAGTCCCTGCGGACACCCGTCCAAAAGGACCTCTGCCTGCATTTGCTTCCTCTTGTCTTGTAAAATCAGAAAATTGGACTTGAGAATAAAGCATTAATTGGAAGGTGTAATCTCACATTTGTGTATAGACAGCTATCCTGGCCCTCAGGAAAACAGTTCCTTTTGGGAGTTGGGAAAATAATGGCCACATCCAGCATTAGACCCTTAAAATTAGTATCATTTTACTTGTTGAATTAAAAATACCCTGCTGGCTTCTCCGCCTGGTCCCATGCTGGTGCACTTTTACTTGGAGAAGCTCTCCTCTCGGCACAGTCGTGCCCTGCTGCGGACTCCTGGCCCCAGGGCCCTGGTGCCGTGGGCGTTTCTCCTGGGACCTGACATGCACCGGTAAGGGTAGAATCTTGTCAGTGATGGCAGCGCTGGTGCCCTCACCTTCTAGGATTTAGAATCCTGGTTTCCCGTTCTCGAGCCGTGCACATGCTAATGGGGCATGCATTTCACAGAAGGGAAATCACGGTAGCAGAGAGCGGTTAGAGCCTCACACAGGCGTGCCGGCGTCCACCCTGCTGTCCTCGTCCACTGTGTGTGCATGGGAACTTCCACAGAGAGACAGCTGGGCACGAGAGTTCCACGGAAAGGAGGAGAATCCGAAGTCCACGGAGACAGGCCCGTCCTTCTTAACAAAAGGAAGGCATTGAGATCCACCCAGGTTTAGCAGTGCCTGCCCATCTGCCTGGCGGCTCAGAACGTTAGCTTCTGCAAGGCGTGGGCCCCTCTGAGGCACAGTTGCAAGAGATGGCAGTAGGGATCGTGTATGAGGGCCCGAGTACGTAGGTCTTCGCTCTGAATTGCACAGCTGGGAGACAGAGGGAAGCGTTTGGGGCTACTGGTGGAACATGGATTTCCTTCTCACTGTTCTCCTCTTCTGTGGTCTTTACAGGGTTTCGTTTGGTACTTGTTTTGAGATAAAGTAGAAATAAGTCTACTCTAATTAATTTACTTAGGTTTCAGGTGCTTTGCAAATTATCTAATTTATGCAGCAGAATATCTACATAGCCAAACAAACACGAATTTTTTTAAAAGGTAGTCAGTTTCAACCAGATGAAATTCTGTTACGAGACCGTATTAAAACTTGGACAGAGGAGTCACTTCACAGGGTCTGCAACCCGCAGAGCCTCGGTGCAGCCCCCGTCTCTGTGTGTCCAGGGCGCCGCAGCGGTCCGACGCCCACCCTGCTAGTGCGCGTCCGCCGCAGTGCCGGTCACACGAGGAGCCCCGCCTACGCCTCTGTCTTCGAATGGCTAGTCCAGCTTTCTGAAAGGTCCATGTTAGCGACTGTTTTGTCTTACTGAGTAATCTGAGGCCGTCACGGCCGTCAGCCCTGAACTCACCCCGGCTTCCTCCTCTGCCTTGGTTTACGTCCCCCCCACCTCTTCCCGGTCCCCTCCGATGGGACGGGAGTGGTGTCCTGTGCTGCCTCTGAGACTCGCTCCCCCCACCAGCCTGTGATCTTGTTCCCCCACCACCACATCTCCTTCCGCCTGCCCCCTCCGCTTTCCCGAGACTCTCAGAGGCACCCGCATTTAGAAGCTCAGATCTGCCTGCTCCTGTGGATCCCTTCAGGAGTCTGGCTGTTTATTTCCTTACGTTTTCAAACTTCCCGCTTCTGTGCCTTAAGCTCATAAGGTCTAGTTTGTTCCCCCTCTTGTACTGAATCTGTGATCTCATTTCTTCCTGATATTGTGGATCCTTCTCAAGACCTGCTTTCAGGGACCTCTCTGCAGCTTTGGTATTTTACCTCTTGCCTTTCTGAAAACAGTGCTCATTCCGTTCCCAGACTCAGTCATTCTCTTTAAGATTCAGTCCTTCAGTCTCCCCCGCCCCTCCTCTCCCACCGCTTAGGAAGCCTGTTTGCCCCTCACGGCTTCAGATAATCCCCTCCAGGTAGACGATTTCCAAAGATGTGTCTAGGCATGACCTCCCTCCCCAGCTGCCCACCGAACAGGCCCACACCCGACAGTGCACACGGGTGGGTGTGCACCCTTCTTTCCGGGAGCAGTATCTGCGCTCACACGGAGTCCGTGCCGTGTCGCCCAGTGAACGCGGGGCTGCCGGGAGACGGGCATCCTTGGCACTCTGGAGACCTGCTGCCCTGCCCAGCCTTCGCTGAGCGGCCTCTCAGCTTGCGTTCCAGGTTCTCCGCCCCTTTGTGCGACCCACATCCTTGCCTCCCACTCCTCCAGATGCATCCGTGTATGACAGTAAAATGCGATGAACTGCAGATACCCAACTATATTCTTGTCCTTAGGGAACATCTCAGCAGTACAGAAAACAGCCGTGCACCCACCACCCACCTGTAGATGAACCTGTATATTGTCTTATTTGCTTCAAAAATTTTTAAAGAAAGAAAACAAATGTAGTTCTCTCTTCATGTTGTGTTTAAACATGCCAGCCGCGTCCTTCTCCCTCTGCGCGTCCGGCGAGGCTGTGGCTTCCCCCAGAACGGCTGGGCCCCCTCCAGGCCTCGGCCCTGAGGGGTCTGTGCAGCAGGGGTGACTCTGCCTGGCCCTCGGGCCGAGCCCCTTCCTCTGTGCTTCCCTCTGATGGCCCTATTCTCTCAGCGAACTTGCTCTTTCTTTTCCTCTCTCCTGAAAGGCCTTGTCCTCGTAAGCACTTAATACATACGTGTTTCCTCGAATGTTCTGAATGAAGAAAGCTGATAGTGTCAAATTACAGTGTTACAGCCCGGCATCTTCTAGAAAGGAAGAAACAAAGCCAGCCCATTAGAGAGTAAAAACAAAATTTCTGGGACTTTAATAAATGTTTCTGTCACTCTAAAAGGTGAACTAAGGTCGGTTTCTATCTAGTTAGGGGCGCTTTTTTTCTAGCTCATCTCTGCAAACTTTTGTAACTAAGAATTTGTTAGGACTCTTAAGTCAGGAATCTGCAAACTTTCTTGTAAAGGGCCAGATTTGGCCATTATGGCCTCTATCACTTACTCTTCTTTTTTCATTTTTTATTTAATTAATTCATTTATTTTTAGAGAGGGGGGAAGGGAGGGAGAAAGAGAGGGAGAGAAACATCGCTGTGTGGTTGCCCCTCGCGTGTCCCCTTCTAGGGACCAGGCCCGCAACCCAGGCGTGTGCCCTGACTGGGAGTTGAACCTGTGACCCTTCGGTTCAGGGGCCTGCACTCAGTCCACTGAGCTACACCGGCCAGGGCTTCTTTTTCTTTTATTATACAACCCTTTAAAAATATTTTTTAAGTGTTCTTATCTAAGTTCCTGCACTGAGTTAGCCCAGTCTGGCAAGCCCTTTTGGCTGTTTCCCTTCCTCTTTGGTTTAGTCCCTGTGATCCCTGGGAAGGGGAACAGAGCTTAGGGACGGGAGGAGATACTTGGGGCTTTTCCCGCTGGAGTTCTGCGTGGAGTTCCCAGTGTCTTGCCTCTTCCTGCTGTGTTGGCTGTTGACTAGAGAACAGCGTGCACCCAGAGACTTCAGGAACAAGTTTAGTTGTTCAGCAGTTTTTCAGGCTTGGATATAGGAGCATAAATTTTACCAGCTGCTTCAAAAACCTGACGGGCAGGGTCTATTTAAACTAAAATCTATTTCTGAAATAATAGATTTGGGTTGACGATAATTATAGAACTGCAAATCTGAGAATGATGGGGGATTTCCTTACGAATTACTGTGGAATCCTAACTAGTCCCGTGCTGTCTGGGAAGTGAATGGTGTTGTTAATACAGAAAGTTAAAGCGCAGGCATCGCATTTTCCTGAACCATCAAGTTTGGAGGAGGGCAGTGACACCGGGCAGCCCCCAAGGAGAGCTGGAGGGCTGGAAGCCCGGTCACCCTGCTGGGCGTCCTGCAGGTCCGCCAACCTCCCTGTGCCACGCAGCAAGGCCCGGGGGCGTTGGGCTGCCTTGCACACACCCCTTTGGGAAGCGCTGGCCCACGGGTGTTCTGGGGTGGTGCGGTGCAGCGTGCTCATTCCTCCACAAGTCACGTGTCCTGCTTTGCCTCTCTTATTAATGGGAGCAAAATGTACCAGCTCCAAAGTCTCCCCCGTGGCTTGCACGACCACAGCTGCCGTCTGCGCTACCCCCTGACGTGTGAGGAGAGCGTGGACTTCCCTGGGACTGCCCATGTGGGGGTCACTGAAGCTCATGCCTGCCTGCTCACTGCCCTTGTGTTTTCTTTGTCCCTGTCCCCCATGCAGAGTATATCCAGAAGTATGCAACGGAGGAGGCACTGAAAGAGCAGGAAGAGGGCACCGGTGACAGCTCGTCGGAGAGTTCTATGTCTGACTTTTCGGAAGATGAGGCCCAGGATATGGAGTTGTAGTAGCAAAAGCACCTGCTTTTCAGAAAGACTATTATTTCCTAACCATGAGAAGCAGACTATAATATTCATATTTAAACAAAGCAATTTTTTTTATTACTAAACAAGGTTTTTATGAATAATAGCATTGATATATATATATTATATATCACCCTTTAGATCTTGATTTCTTGGTCATTTCTCAACCTGAGGTGCATAGCATATCCCCACATTCCATTTTGGTAGCAGTATGCGGTCCGAATGCATGCATTCATAAGTCCATTTGGCCAAGTCAGCCTGTGTGCTGCTGAACTGTCAAAAGAAATAGCCACTCTGATAGATAGACATGAGTAAAAATAACAGGAAAAAGTTGCTTCTTTTATTGATGGTTCCAAAGAAACAAACCAAACCAACCAGCTCTTGGATGTGAAGCTAGGATAGTGCTTTTTCAAAATGGACAGGAAAACACTGGGGAGGAGAGGCCTGCTGTGGGGGCTTCAGCGCCAGCCGCGCCGGGGCCGCGCGCCTCCCTGGGGTTCCTAGGTGGCCCCGTTTCTGTGGAGTAACAGTGTGGACAGGGAGCGAATTGGAGTAGTGAAACCTAAAACAATTTTTGCCTCAGATTTTGAGTACATTTTTATATGTAGATTCCTGCCCTTCTGGCTGCCCGGCCGTACAGCCACGAGTGTATTGCTTTGGAGAACCTTTGGAAAGTGTTTTCTGAACCTGATTCTTTCTCCTGGGGTAGAGCTTGTAACCCAGACCTTGTCTGCAAGGACAGGACAGGAAGAGAAGAGGGACCGGGAGGGTGTTTCCTCTCGCCCAGCTCGTGCGGAGCCACATCCTCGTCCTGTTGGTGGCCACTCTGAGACCGCTGCCCTGGACTAAGAGCTTTAAATCGGAGGGTGGTTGTGGGTTATTTTTGTTTGGGGGGTTTGTTTGGGTTTTTTGGTGTGTGTGTGAATTGTGCTTAGACAGGTTGCAAATTCAATATTCACCTGCCAAGAGATGGCCGCCTCCTCGGACAGCCCGTCAGTGGACCATCAGACTCGGGAAGAAGACCCGTCTGGCGGCCGTGACTCCTGGGCGCGCTCACTCACGTCTTGGTTTTGGTTTTCCTTCTGCGGCTGCTCTGGGCGGCGGCCCGGTCATCATCTGCTTGCTGGGATGGGAAAATGGGTGTTTTAGACCGAGCACATTCTGAATTTCAAATGAGGAATCATTGGAACAAATAAAGGTTCTTGTACCCAAAGTGACTCTACGTGGGGAAAACCAACACAGTTTCTTTCAGAGTGTGACTGAGTAGAGGAAAGGATTCGGAAACAAGATGTAGTAGTAAAACAGGTTGTGAAGGAAGAAAGTCTTCTCTTCATGTGTGTTAAGAGGAAATCAGACAGTTTGAAATGCCTGCTAATGAAATGTTTGCTCAGCCGACCACACGTCCAGGTTGCTGGCGAGTGCCCTGCAGATGCGAGTGCCCTGCAGACGCGAGTGCCGCCGCTGAGGGCGGGGGCTCCGAGCGGCATCTCGGCCCCTCTCCGTGTCGCAGCCGGTAGGACAGGAGCAGAATTAGCCAATCCTCAAAGCTTCTCAAGACAGTTTTGGAATGTCCCACTGGGATAATTTAATGTTTCTTTCTGATGTGTGTTTTTAGTTTAGAAGTGCTATATTCCACAAGATTTGAGTCAATGAGGTTGGAAGATAACCCTTTTTTATTCAAAAAGCACAATCTTTTCTTTGAAAATCTATATAAAGTACAATTTGCTTTTAGCATGATTATTTTCCTAAATAAAAAAAGACAAAGAATTTACTTATTTTATGTTAATAACGGGCATGAAGCAAAAGGTTTTCTTTCAAAAAAAAAAATGCAAGTGCAGTTACGTAGGGCTGTGGTTAGTTCCCGTGCTGAGTTCCCTAGCGTTTGTGGCTCGTGGGAAGGGTAGTGTTGACTGTTTGACATGTGATGGTGTGCTTTAACTCGTACCTAGCACGTTGTCTTCTCACTGTCGGGGGAGGGAGGGTCTCTGCTGGCGCTGACTTGCTGACCTGCTGAAGTAGCAGTTTGCTGTGGTGTAACCTTCATTGTAGGTGCGACGTAGGGTATAGGCCTAAAGTGCTGGGTGGTCATTGGAGTTCAAACAATAAAAAATTGTAATTTTTTTCAATATTGTATAAACAATAGTGTTCTAATTACCTTTCCAGAAAAAATGATGTCCCGATAATAATTGCTTCGAATCTTGTCCAAAAAACACTAGCAGAACCGAGTCTAGGGAAGGTATGTGAGCAGGGCCACAGCTCTGCTCCCCGGCTGCATCCATGTTTTCTGACGGAAAGACATCAGCTTGCCTGCGGCCGAGAGCTCCGGCACTGGAAGCCGGGAGGCTGCAGGGACGAGCAGAGCTGAGTGTGGCTGCTCCGTGCGCGCGTGTCTCCATGTCTGTCCTTGTGTGTCCATCCAAATGTGTGTGTCGAAGGTGTAATTAGGACTTCTCTATTAGCACTGGAAGCTTCTGGAATTGCTACTCAAATCAGGCTTTGTATCTCATCCCGTGCAAGTCTGTCGCATCGGAGCACCAACCTTGGTCCCGTGCGCGTGTGTGGCTCTGTGTAGGTCTTTTCCTCTCTACTGCAAAACTGACTTTGGATAAATTGAACAGGATCCCTCCTTAATGCTAACTTTCTGTCCCTTCCCTGAACCTGGAACAGGTGGGTGTAGGAGACCATACTCATGTGTAGAGGGAGCTGGAAGACATCTGGCTGTGATGAGGCGAGGACGCTGGGCCCCCAGTGATAAGACGGGAGAGTCGGGCTGAGGCCAGGGGTGTTTCAGCACCAGAAGCTTCTCCAGGTTGCCCCGTCGCAGCCCTCGGAACAGTGTCTGGGGCCCCTCAGAGAGTCTGAATGTGACTGCTTTTAAAGGTGGTGGTGGTGAGTCCGAGTTGCTTCTGGCAGTTTGCCCCCTTTCTTAGTACCGGCGGTTTCTGAAGTCCTACCTTGGGGTGTGCCAGCGCCGGCCGTTCTTTGCCCCTGTTGGAACAACCGAGCTCACGCTCTCGCCAAACGCCAGCTGGCAAGATGGCCGCGGTGCTGAATTCGCTGCTCTCCAGCTGCCCCAGCCCCGGGGCCTTGTGGGTTGCTGTTTCCCGGTAGCCAACCTAGACAATGGCATTTTTGCTCCTTTGGTCTTTAATCTCCTCTAATTGCCCTCCTTGAGGTTACTGTGCAGTTTCAACCAGCATTTTATACTAGTGAGATAATTACCAGAAGTTGCCATGAATCTCTCCTGTACCTAACGTTTTTTTTCTTCCACTTCAAAAGCTGTTCTAATTGCCAACTGGCTGATGTAAGCTCCTGGAGAGTGTCTCCCCTGGAAGGAAATTTTTCCCCTCCAAAGTCTCCCTGAAGCCCTAGTTGGCCTTGGCCTGACACTTGCTTTTTATTAAGCTTCCTGTTGGGATGGCTGAGAATCATGAAAAACAGACCCTCCACTAGCTTCCAAGGGTCAAGTTCCTGGGAACTAGTGTTTGATTTTAAATGGCACGTGACCTTTCTGTGTTCTAGGAACTCAATTAGAAAAGTGAAAGCCATTAACAAAAGTGAGTTTTATTTCATCAGCTTCCTGACTGGGTTCACAGCCTCGTTGACTGAAATCAAATAATTTCTGACTGGGCGCAAAGACCTGTGTTTCTTTGGACTTCTGAATCCATGTTCGCATTTTCCCTGGCCACCGAACACCTTGGCGATTCCATTAGGGACTGGCTGGAGTGGAGGCCCCACAGGGAGGGGAGCTAACAGCCAGCAGGCGGGGAGGTTCTCCCCCCCCCCCCCCACCTGAAGAAGGGCCAGGACTCGTAACTCGGCAAACACTGGCCGTGGCTGTGGGCTTGGGAAGAAATGGCCATCACGTACTGATTGTGTTTGGTACATACTGTGTGATACTTGAAGAGTTAAAAGGGACTGACCAGCCCCTAATTGAAATCTAAGCTTTTTATCACTTCTCTTTTCCTCACCCTCCCCCCCCTTCCCTGCATTGTGATGCTCTAGTGGGCACTTCTGTCAACAGGACAAATGCCTCCTCTGACTAGAACCTCTTCATAGTTGTGTATAATGAAAACTGTAAACTTTTTTAAATAAAATGTGTATATACCTTGGCAACTGGCTGGACCTTGATGAATAAGATAATAGCCCCCCATGATGATGTAGCCTGTTTTTAAAGTATCCTTCCTGTTCATCTGCCCCCCCCCCTTCCCCCCCCCCCCCCCCAGCTTTTGACTGAGAGGCTCTTACCAGGCAGCCTGGGTCAGCTTGGGGAGGGTGTCACGTGTAGGCAGTAGACGCCAAGGGGGCCTTGCCTGCCGAGTCCTGTCCTTGTCCCTGGAGCGGCAGGTGGCTGCTGGCTGTGAGGCTTCAGCAGGGCCTTAAAAAGCCATCTCTTCATGAAGTCCTGTGGCCTGAAGGACCCAGTTCCCCCAGTGGATGGTGGAGCAGGCGTGACTGCCCTGTCACTGTTAGCCCAAACATTCCAGACCTGTCAGCTGATGCTGAGCCAACTTGGCCTGGAGTTCACAGGCAGTGCGGCTTCCTGCCAGGGGCCATTCTGCTTCAACAGGTGCCCCCCGTGCCAGGTGGCAAACCCCACCAGGGAGGGGAGAGCAGTGGATATTGATTGCATCAGAAGCTAACTGCTGAATTACTGCTGTATTTTCATTCCTTCCTGAAGCGTATGCCCTCAGTGACCACCAGGTGGCGATATTGCCCAATTGCACTGGGGAAGCTACTTGGTGCTGGATTGTGTCAGAAGGCCCTTTAGACAAAGGGACGAATGTCTTTGGTCATGTTCTCATTCCCCCAACTCTCCACTGTTTTCTTCTTATTCGTTTCCCTCACACTCCTTTCCCTTGCTGCATCTTGATGTACTCCGCAGTAGGCCCAGCTCTGTATCCACCAGGGAGGGGGAGGGAGGGTGGGCCACCTAGGAAACGTCTGGTGTCAATAAACCTTGAGCGCTCCTGTGGCAAGTAAACCCTGCAGCTACCCTGGCTGCCTCCAGTGCTCAGAGGCAAGACGTGCTCTTCGCAGGTGGTCTCAGCGACCCCTCAGTCCAGGGTGTGGTGGGCCAGAGGCCTGAACCAGCCCTGTGAGTTCTGGTCCCATCTCTTCCGTCAGTTGGCTGTGCAGCTGCAGGCTCACGTGCACAAGTCCCTAAACCAACAGGTTCTGACTCTGACACTTGGCGACACCCTCCGTCTGGGCTCTGAAACAGTATGGGATGTAGTGTCCTGAGAGGAATTACATCAACCTGGGAAATGTAAAGGTTTCAGGATCAGAGTCTGCAGCTGCTGGACGCACGGAGCTCTGGAAGTTGCGAGCACACGGTTTCCAGCTGAAAGGAGAGTGAAATCTGCGGGTCATGTGAGTAGTCATTCCGTCACCTCACACAAGGCTGCTTGAGAAGCTGCTCCGTGACGTCCAGCCAGGCCGTGATGCCCCAGCTGGTGTGGCTCAGCGGACTGAGCACCAGCCTGCAAATGGAAGGTCGCAGGCCTGATTCCCAGTCAGGGCAAATGCCTGGGTTGTGGGCCAGGTCCCCAGTTGGGAGCATGTGACAGGCAACCAATCGCTGTATCTCTCTCTCCCTTCCCCCTTTCTAAAAGTAAATAAAGTTTAAGAAATAAACACTGCTCTGGAGTCCCAGCGCATTCAGTAGTGGTCTCAGGCAGCTTCCTGAGTGGTGGGTGACCCTTGCCGCCTGCCTGAGGCTGTGTCCCTCCCCTGAGAAGGGGACCCTGAGATTTCTGAGGCACATTGTCCTGTAAATTAAGGTTGTGTGTTTGGCACCCTAGAACTTTTACTAACCTTAAATTCTCTTGCCATCTCTGAAGGCGGCTCTGCCCCGGGAACGCGTTCCCATGATACTGGCCCTGCTGTTTCCTGCTCGCCACCTAGAACCAGGGCAAAGGGAATCTGGCTCTCACAACTCTTGGTCCTGCAGAGACCCCGGAGCTCCTGACACTGAGCAACCTTGTTGATGAGAAACGAAGCTCACAGGCTTCTGAGGGACTCCGATCCCTGGGTGAGCCCCGAACAGTCCACCTCGACAGTCCAACCCTGCTCTCCAGTGCCTTGCATCATAGGGTGCGCCCCCAGAACCTCTGAGAAGTGAAGAGTTACTCTGACAGGGTTTTTCATTAGAGGATGAGAGACACAGGAGCCTTCCCCCTCTTGCTCTGTGTGTGTGTCTGGAATAAAGGATGTTTATTTCTGAAGAAGGCTGGCACTTGTGTGGACCTGGGTTCCTCGGAGCTCTTTGGGACTTGGCCCCTAGGACCTGGTGTCAAGTGGCTGGGGTAGCAGGAACAGACGGGATTTCTAAGAGGAAAACTCAGCCTTCTGGCTGCCTGGGCATTGCTGGCTGACCTGGAGAGGGGCTGCTGGATGGAGGTGGCACTGGACCTTCCCATCTGTCCCAGCTTCTTTTCCCATGGCCCCTGCCCACCAAGTCAGCCAGTACACAGCAAGCAGCTCTCTTTGAGAGGCTCAGCCCAGATTCTGTTCTCCCGAGTTCTAGAAACAAAGCAGGTGCCTAGTACAGTCCACTGACAAGCACTTTGAAGTGTGGAACACAGTTTTTAAAAGATGCACCTCTGCAGAGTTCAGATCAGCACCCCAAGAACGTGAAAATCCTCCGTCTTGCCCCCCTCCAGAGAGAACCACCCTCGGCAGTGGCGGGAGAAGGCTCTCCCATGCCTCCCGCTGGCCCCGGGAGCCCCTGGCAGAGTAGACCAGGCGCGACCACATTTCACATGAACTGCCTGTGAGGTGCCAAGAGACTTGGGCACACGGTGAGTGGCACAGTCAGCGGTGGAAGCCAGGTCTTGAGGACATTACTGGGGGTTCTTTGCACGAGCACATACCATGCCAAACCTGGTGCCCATCTAACACGCCGGGGGCTGGGGGCACCGGGTCTGTGTGAGCCTGCCACCCGGGGCTCCTCCGCCATGCTTCCGGGTAGGCCCGGGAGCCCGGCCAGCCTCCTGCCCAGGGGGCGCATGGGCTTGGTCGCCGGGGGTCAGGGTCCCCCACACGGACCGAGTTTGCACTGATAGCTGCGTTCCCACCCTCTGGGGCCAGCAGTAGACTCACAAAAATAAAACTCAAGTTTAGCCCGTCCCTGGAGCAGAAGTAGAATGCCATCTACACAAGGAATTTAAAACTTTTTAGTGGCCACATTTTTTTCAAAGGTAAAATTAATGTTTTATTTAACTCGATATGCAAAGTACTTCAGTGTACAATGACTACGTAAAAGTGAATGAAATATTTTACATTCCTATTTGTGCACTAACGCTTTCCAATCCCGTGTGTACTTTATACGGCGCATCTCGACCTGGACGCCACGTTTTCAGCATTTAAAATGATACGCAGCCCTACCAAAACCAAAGCTGTGTTACAGAAAAACTTACATTGCTTGCTTTTACATTTAGTTAAAATTAAAATGAGCAGTTGGGTTCCTCTGTTGTTCCTCTTCAAGAGCTCAGTAGCCACATGTGGCCGTGGCCGCCTGCTGGGCAGTGCAGACTGGAAACTCCCAGGCAGAGCAGGAATTTTTAGAAGCGAATCACAGGAGCGACCTCTATCGTGGACTTGGAGCAGAACCCAGAACCTCAGGCTCCGCAGAGAAGATCCTGGGGAGTCGGGCCTTCTGGGCGCACGGTCTGGAGCGTGGGGCGGGTTTGGGAGGCGAGAAGCGCACACAGGTCTGTGCCTGCGTGCGGACCCGCAGGATGTGGGAGAATCCGACGACGGCCAGGGTCACAGGAAGGACCCTCTGGGGCCACTGCAGTCGACTGGTCCCCTCGGGTGACTTCAGCACGCGAGGGCGCCCCCGGGCATGCACCCGCAGCCTGCAATCAGCCCAGGGTTCCCAGTCCCTGCGGCTCCCCATTGTCCCCGCAGAGACAGAAGTGACCACCCACGAGTCGGGGGATCTTCCTGGATCAGGTCCCGCGGAGGGCGCGGCCACCCGGCCCATCTCAGCGCTGCGGGGCTCGTCCCTGCCTCGGGCACCAGGGGGCGCCAGGACCTCGCGCAGCGGCCCCGAATCTCGGGCGGCCCTTCTGCTCCCAAGCCGGCGGAGGGGATATGGGGTGGAGTCGGGAGGCCCCGGGACACCTTGCCAGCCCCAGGCCCTTCGGCTCTGCCCCTGGTGCCTGGCATTTGCCAGAAAAAAACGTCAAGGCTACCCAAACACCAAGCCCGGGAAACTGGCTCCACTCAGAGAACCCAGGGCCCTGATACCCCGGCCTGACTCTGCTGGGTCATCTTAGGAAAAGCCAAGGCCACTCCTGACCGCCCCTCCGCGGGGCTCCCAGTGGTGGACGACAGATGCGGCCACCTAAGCAAGCAGGGGCCTGCTTGTCGGGAGGTCCAGGTGGGGCCCGAGAATGCCGGGGAAGCCGCAGACAAGACTTGGCAAATGAGAGGCGCCAGGGACGCTGGAGACCCGGTCCCAGAAGCCACCGGGCCAGAACAAGGCCACTCCAGAAGGCTGTGCTGGGCCACCGGGCATGCGTCTAACAACCATCCCTTCCTCTCTGCTCCACACCGGGAAGACAGAAAAGCCCCAGCGGGAGCCAGGCCCCTGTCACAGTGGTAGGGACCAGAGAGGAGGGATGTAGACCTACTCTTCAACACGATCATCAATCATCGTGCTTAGAGAGGAGTCGTCCCCCTCACCTCACCCCACCCCCCCGTCCCCCAGAGGACAGGGAGTTCAATACAGAGAGGTCACGGCCAGGAGCTTACACCACTCACTGTGCCCCCGCTTATGGAGCTTCCCCCGCGGCCCCGCAAGTCCAGAGGAGGGAGAGGCGGCTCATCCAATTCATCCATCCTATCTCCCCAGCCAACCTTTCGTGCAGGGAGGAATAAAAGTCATGAAAGCACCACAGGCCAAAAGGAGGGGGCTTCCTGGAGGAGGGGGCCCCATCATGGCCTGGCTGGATGGGAGGGAACTGGATAAAGGGAGAAGAGGGCAGGGCACCCCACGAAGGGAAGGGGCCAGGGGTGTGCACGGAGGTGACAGTGGACCCAAGGGGAGGACAGAGCAGGATGGGTCTCAGGGTTGTGGCTGGCCTGGAGGTCATGGTGGCCAAGGA